AAAGAGCAAACTCTGAGACAATATATGAGAGTGATATAACTTGAATACTATAAATCTGTTAACAATACTCTAATACTACTAGTGTGTTATTAGCTACTCTGTCTAGTTTAGTTACTAGTTTAGTTTTATGTTTTAATATATTATAATTGTGATCTGTCAAATTCTTTTCTTTTTTTCTCTCTATTTTTTGGCAATGTTTTTGTTTTTAGTATTGGTTTCTGTTTTTTTTCTTTCTTTTTTTAATATTAGTATTAGTATTAGTATTTTTTTATTTTTCTGCTTTACTATGAGAAGATGTAATTAGATTGGTGATATTCTATTATAAAATAGTGGTCTGATAGTATCTTTTTGAAATAGATATAGTTTTTATTTAAAACTTATTGGAATGTATTCAAATAGATATGCTGTTTAGTGCAGCTAGTCGCTTGTAAGTGCTTTTGAAGTAACTGTAGAATATTGAATCAAAATTATTAGATATGCTTTACTGCATCTTTTGCCGTACTAGATAAATAAAAACTTAATAACAAATACTGGCAAGATAGCCAAATTGAATATATATATATATATATATATAATATTTAAAACTAAAAATAGAAACTTTGTCTAATCATAGTAGAAATAGTAATTTTCTATAATAGAAATAGTAGATTCTTAATATATTTTAAACAATCTAATAAAATAAATATTGTTACTTATTCATTTATTAAACATAATTTTAATTTTTTTAACAAATATTTTTTACTCTTTCTTGTATAATATTTGTCAAACTACTAATATATTTGCTAACTATTGAAATATCTAATTCAGAAAGACTAGTATATATAACAAAATTAATATATTAAAAGGTAATTAGCATTTTATTATAAGGCTAACCCATTAAAAATATTAAACATACTTGTGCTATAAATAAATATAGCAGACAAAATTTGCAATAAAGTTACTATATTTAATTTTCTATTGATAAAATAGCTTAAAATATTCATGTCTTGCTATTAAATAATCCATTAAATTTATATAACTCAATTTTATTTTAAGAGTTATCAACTGTAAACTAGGAGAACACAAATTATATTTGTACTTACTATCATCTATAAGTTTAAAAAACCTTTATATAGCATGTATTTAAAACTTTTATACTTATTGAAAACAATTAGTTAGAGTACTGTTTTGATATATATGATTAAAATATGAACTATACAGATTGTTAAAAAGATTGCTTAACAACTTTTATTTTATATTCATATAACATTATTTTTTCAAATTTCAAAACTTGATATCAAGATCAATAAATATATTTTTATATACTTTATTACATATTTTGTAAAACTTTGATTTAATTGCAATTAATTGATTAATTGTGGCTGCACTATCAATTAATTAATTGGGATCAAATAATTGCAATTAATTGCCTTTATAATTAAATTTTTGACATGTCTGGTCAAAATGTAAATGAAAGTTCAAAGGGGTATTTTCTTTTAACAGCATTCATATATATTAAATTTACATATATTTCTAATTAGAGCTAAACCTAACAAATAAGTAAACCAGAAATAAATGTATATATGCTTGATTCAGAAATACTAGATAACTTTGATGCAAAATAGTTATATATAGTAATCAGATTCAGATGTTTAAATAGATGTCAGATACCACATTTCCAGCAATAACAATTGGATCTATTGTTTAAACTATGTTTTGGGTCTAATGTTGTTAGCCAAAATTGTTTTGAGTTTGTGGAAATATTCAACATTTGATATTTAGTCTGCCAAAATTCCAAAATAATGCTGAAATATCTAAATTAAAATTTATTATTAGCAAGTATTCGAACTTGTTTATTTTGATCCAAAAATGGTTGCTTGTCCCTATCAAGTAAGTTTAATTATATTGTTTGCTACTGCCTACAATAGTACTCATAGGTACTGTGTGAAAAACTAGGAAGTAGCAACCAGTAGAGAGAGTATTATTTTTGGGAGATACTATAGGTGTGGCCAATAGTATATACTTTTTAAATAATACTATCTTAAAAATTTTCTCACATTTTATATCTGCTTTTTTTCACATAGTACTCACTATGTCAAATATTTATAGTTTGAATCTAGATTATTAGCAATTCATAAATCAATTACTTTTAATGTACAAGTTCTCTCTGTCACTAATTTAGGTATTTAGTCATATAGTTTAGACATTTAGTCAAATTTAGAATTTTGATATTTCGACAAAAAATAATATTATATCGAAATATATTTTGACACAAAATTGTCTAAATATTTGACTAGATAGAGTGGTATTTCGACTAACAATATTACTTAGATCATGGCTCAAGCTGGGCTATTGATTTTAAGAGTCAAGCCAAGCTATACAAATTGTTAATAATAAAAGCTAATTACTAGCAGGAATGGTAAATGACCTGGTCATTTGATCAAAATTTAAATAACCAAAGTCATCAAATAATGATCAGGTCATTTGGGTCATTAAGATCATTTAGATCATTTGTATATAAAGTAATTTTATTGGTTGAATTACTTACATAAAAAGTTATCAAACTTTATTACTTTTCTAATCAATAATCGTAGCTATATATTACTTTTCTAATTGATAATCGTAGCTATATATTAATTTACTAAGTCAATTAATATTTATACCTTAAGTAAAGCTATCTGAAAAAATAAATCGCATATATTTTAAAATTTTTATATAAATAGAATATTTTTATAAATATAAGGTGCGGAAGTGAATTAATAAAAAGTTAACCAATTTATATAAAAATTTCAGACTATATGCAATTTATTATCCCAAACAACTTTACTTAAGGTATAAATATAATTGATTTAGTAATATTTTGATTTTGATATATAGCTACGATATTGATAATATTTAATTTTGCTTTGTGGCTAATTCTGATTTGTTAAATAATGTTAGAATATTAACTAATATATGTTAAATAACCTTCTAAGGTTATTTGGGCCTTGAAATGACAAATGACTAGTTATTTGTCATTTGAGTCATTTGGGTCATTTTAGATCATTTACCATCCCTGATTACTAGGGCTGTTAATCGGTCCGACTAAGACCACCAATCCTGCGATACACTTTAGAACTAGGCCAGTCTGGTTTTTTATAGAACAGATCGAAAAAACTGTCGGTCCTAATATAGCTAGCTTTAAATTATTGTAACAAAAATATATAGCCTAATTTTTTGCAATACAGTGTTAATTTTTAGATACTTAGACAACAATAATAAATTTAAAATTTTTAAATCAGGTTTTTTCTTATTTAATATTTATTTTATTATATGTAATAACAGGCTTTTAAACAAAAATTAGATATGCAAATCAAATTTTTAATTAAAATTATTATCTAAATATACTTATATTACGGAGCTTATGAAATTAGATTTTTGTGATAACTGGTTTTTGTAAAATTATAAATAACTGATGATAATAATACATAATGATTTTCTTTAAATTATTAATTTGTTCTTTGTTTTCAAATTTAAAATTAAATATTTTTAAATATAAAAAGCAAAGTAGTATTAGCATTAACAATTAAATTTATAAATAAATATTATGATTATTAAAATATTATATTATTAATATTGCAATTTGGGCTTTAAAGAGCAAAGCAGTAATAAACTAATTATTTGAATAGAGTCTATAATAATAATGGGTAATAAATTAATATGTTATGCGATATTTAATTATTTGAATTTTCAGTCTATCTAGTTTTTATCCCTTAGATTGTAGGCCAACACAAGCAAATTTGTCTGTGTTGGTACTATAAATATGCTACTGATCTATTTTTTTAACAACTTAGAATATTTAAATGAAATTTAGTATAATAATATTTGAAATTATAGATTACTTTTTTATAGTATTTATTTTTAGATTATAAGAAAAAAAAATTAAATTACTTATAAACCAAAAATATGCAATTTTAAAAATAATTTTTCAAAAAAAATATTTTAGTTTATCTATAACAAACTTTTTAAATATTAATTTTAGAACTATAGTTTCTAATACAACTTTATAGTTTGAATAATGGATTATAACTTTAATTATTATAAATCTGGTAATTGTAAAAATTAATACTTGTCTTAAGAGTAAAAATTTTTTCTAGCTTCAGAAATATATAAAATTTTAGAAAACTTAAAAAAAATTTGAATTTTGCTATTTACCGCCAATGCCGATATCGCCGGTCACATGATTTGCATTACATACAAGTAATACAAAATATATGAATATATTAGTTAATAATCATGGGCACACCTACACAGCAAAAGCAGGGGATAGGGCTATATATTATATAGTCCTATTCTCTGCTTTTTCTGTGAGCGTCTCCATAAGAAATCACATAATAAAAGCTTTTCTTTAAGCAATTTTGTATATAATTCGCTAATTTCTGATTTAATTTAAGTCCAACTCTGGTATAAAGATATCATTTCGTTACAATGTATTTGTTGTAAGTTAGAACAAAATGAATTTTTTTTGGAATCTACTTGAATTAGAGCATTCATTTTAGATGAACTAGAATTTTTTTTCTGCGAATGATCTTAATGGCCGCATGAACAAATAACTATAGCATATTTTACTTGGGTCTAAATAGGCATTATATATTTCGAATTTGGAACAGACAAAGTCTGATGATGATCGTTACGAATATTGTTACTACTATAAAATCTTCAAGCAACAGGTGTCTGCAAGTTACTTTGATCACTTGTGCGTTAGTTTGAATACGACTATTTCGATATAAAAGATTAATTTCTAAGAGCGTTCTCAAGCACCTATCTCAGTAAGCTAAACAAAGAATCTGGTTGGTTAGTTTGATTAGACAAACCAATCAGATTCACTGTTGAGCCATTGAAATAGGTGCATCAAGTCTAATTATTACTAATATTAATATGTGATATAAGATGAGTATTATTTCAGAACAGACAAAAGCATTATTTGAGTGACAAAAAAGGAAAACCTATAAATCATTTCACTCATTATCAAGATAATGAGTGAAATAATTTACAGGTTTTCCCTTTTCATCACTCATTTAAAGCAGCTATGCTATTTTAGGGACAGGACTTTTAAATAACACTATTTCGAGAATTCACAGTGCAAAGTATAATATTGAATTCACCAAATTCAGATTGCCAATTCAGAACATAATTTACATTACATAAAACTAAATACCTAATACCCTAACTCTAACCATAACCACTAACAACCTAACACCCTCGCCCTAACCCTAACCAAATCTAGTGCTTACTTTTTTTTTTGTTTTTAGGATTTAGTTCACAAGTATTAGCATAGTGACCTGTATTATTACAATAGAAACATTTGCGCATTGATTTGTTTGTAATATCAGATTCATTAAGTACTTTATTAAATTTAAGAATTTGATGAGAATTCGATTTGTTAATAACTTCTAAAGAGTCATATAACTGCTTCTTTGGTCGACCACGATGTGAAATAACATAAGGATTTGTTATTAATCTAATAATATCTGATCTTAATGAGTTGTCAACTTTAATAGATTTTGATTCAATAAAGGTGTGCATTTGACCAATAAACTCATTCATAGTATCACTATCCAGTGCAACTTGGACACCTTTTTTAGCAATGCCAATGCCTTGACAATACAAAGCTTTCTTGGATGTGTATTGTTGAACTTCATTGTTAAAACAGTCTGGTTCTCTAATCTGTTCAATTATAGCAAAGCCACCACTTGATTCATCATTTTGTATCTCCTGTATATCTGTTACAGTGTTTGTAATAGTAATAGTGCTTGGTTGTTTAATTACATTTGTAGGATTCGTAAACCATTGTCGAGGTATCATTTGTACTTGAAACTTAATAAGTGAGGAGACGACCAGAACAAAAAAGAAGTGTCGACAAAAAAAATCTCTGGCAATAAGTGACATACAAGAACATAAATGAGTTCCATCATATAGAACTATAATATAATGTTCACTATAAGAAGCTGGATTACTAAATAATCTAATTTGCCAAATTTCACCAATACTTTGAGTTTCAACTAATTTAAGCATTGATGAGAGTAGAATGCGGCCTTCCTGATAATCATCCTCAAGAAATCTAGCAGTATATTCTAAGTTATCATTCTAATTACACAAATAAATTAGTAATCAGTTATAAACTTAAGATAATCTCGATTAAATACTTACTTGGTTAAAGGTTGAATTGTTAATTCTATATGGGCAGTAGAGACAAGATTGACTAATCTGAAGTCTTTGACAAGCAAGTGCTTCAAAAGTCAAATGTTTTTTTAAAATTTCATCGATTTGGGAAAAAAAAGTACTATGAATAGTAGATAGACCAATGAATGGAAGCTGATTTCTATATTCAGATTCACGTTGGCGTTTGGCCTCATTTTCAATCCGTTTTTTGATACCTTCTACTAATTTTGTAAGCGTTGTTTGTGCTCCAACTTCAGCCTTTAATATGCCATTAATGCATTCGACACATTGTGTACTATTCATACTGGCACAAAAGGTTGTGCAGGTGTAAACCAAAGCCCACGCATGTCTTGATCTATATAATCGATGCAGGTAACGTTTATGTTCAGAAAAATTATTCACTAATTGTTGCCACCTACTTTCAAAAAATTCTTCATATTTGCTATTATGTGCACAATAAAATTGTTCAAGAAAATTTTTATATTGAACTTGACCAAGCTTTCGTACAAGGTTTTTAGCAAGATTCTGGCTAATGTGAAACAAGCAATGCCGGTGTTTGGTGTTAAGAAATTTGTTATAAATTGCAGTGGCCAGTCCAGGATCACCATCCGTAAAAATAGTTTGTGGCGTAAGATTATTGTTTAAATGTTTTAAGGATTGCAATATCTATTCAAAGGTAGTTTGTGTTTCATCTTGAACAAGTGCTTGTACAAGCATTCTTGTTCAGTTATGAGAATCAACACCAACAAAAATATTTAATAACATTCTATAAATATTTGTTTTACAAGTATTATCATTCACAACTACATCATGAAACTGTTCATACAACATAGACTGAGTTGGGCTCTGCCAAAAAAGACAGACTAAAGAAGTATCAGCACCTTCAAAATACATGTTAACCTTCCAATTTGGATCTTTACGCTGCTTAGAAATCAAATATTCAAGCATCAGAGCGGCATCCTGGTTAATTTTTGAGGCAGCAGGAGTTTTGTAATGTCAGATTGCATTATAAAGATCTTTAGAATAAATATTAACACCAGGAAACTTATTGACAAGATACCTTCTTTGCTGTCTAGCATTATATTCACATTTTTGAGTCATAAACTTAATTTCATCTAAAATGTCCTGTGACAGTCGTCGCAAAGATGGTGCAAATTCCTCACGATGTGGTGTAAGGCTATGATTATGCTCTTCAATAAGTTTATTAACGTAAATTTTTTGTTCAGTTTTTCTATAGCTAGCATTGCATCGCTATGGGCACTGTGTTTTTTTTGAAGATGTTTGTCAAGCTTGAGTATGATCAATATTATGTTTTGGTTTTGGATCTTCAGAGTATTCACACTCGAAGCACCAATGAATGATATTTCCAGTTTCATTGTCTGTATTTTGTTATCCTTTTATTGGTTTAAACCCATTTTCCCTTCTATAATGTCAAGACTTTTTTTAAGTGACATCCAAGAAAGAAAGCTAGTACCAGAAATAATTGGCCGTATAATAGCACTAGAATCATCAGAATCAGTAGTAGTTTCAGACCTATCGTCTTCAGTTTCTATTTGATTACTTTGATCAACTGACGTATATTGTAATTCTGGTAAAAGTAGAT